AGGTGGGCAACGACGTCAGGGGTGAGGTATACACCCTGATGGTGATTTGGACTCCGTGATTGTGCCCACCCCCAAGATCCTATATGTATGTGTAATGAGAGTGTAAATAATGTGAATGTCTAAGTTGTGGGATAAAATTGAGGCAGAGGCAGCCAGAAGGGGACGGGGGGGGGGGGGGGGGGGGGGGGTAAGCCTCCTCTGCACCCTGGTGACATACCCCCACTCCAAGGCCCTGCATGTGTGGGTGGTTGTGGAGGAGCGGGAAGAGGGAGGCAGCTGGAGATGGGGAGGGAAGGAAGGGAGGGGCAGGTAACCCCTCCCTGGGGCCAGCTCCCCCGCTGACCCCAGTAGGCACTCCCACCCTCCGCGACCCGCCAGGGAAGGGGGGCCCAGGCCCATCCAGACCGGGGCCCAGTGCAGTAGCGCCCCCCGGCTCCACAGAGCCCTGGACAGTCCACCCAACCCCACCACAGAGAAAACTGCACCCACCCCACCATCCACACATCTTCCAGACTACATAAGACGGTAAACGCCCAGGCTGAGATCTTCCTCCACCTCTCCTGTATCTCCCCCTCCTGCAGAGAGTTCCTGAAGAGAAGAAAGCTCCTGCAAGATGTGACCATCCCCCCACCAGTTGAAGAGCCCCCCAGGCGGCTCGACGCACCGGCGGCACCCTGCTCCAGGGCCGGGCCCCCATGCACCCACCCGCCCACAACCCCGGCAACACACCAACCAGGACCCAAGCCTATTTTATATTTCTTACATTTCAGAATTGGTACACAACTCACTTTTGCCCAAGTTGCAACAAGGCAGAGCCAAACCCAACCCAATCATAACCTAGGCTTATCACTAACTCTGATTTCTGATAAGGATGAGCTTAAATCCTGGAGAACAACACCTATCCTTGCCAACCTCACCAGTGGACGGATCCATCTGTGAGCCTGTGTGTCCTTGATGGTATTCCTTGGCTATCTATTGACTTAATGAACAAATGTTTTTATCAGCATTTTGCTATAATCTATAACCTGGCATCCCCATTCATCTTAGGAATACATTTTATAATCACAGGTCTATTAACCCTGCATAAATCAGAAAAGCCATGCACTTAGCTGTGATTTGAGTTCTTGAACCTTTCAGATCTTTTGCAAAGGGCCTTCGTGTAACTATATATACAGTATATACAGATTACAACAGCCTCAAGTGGCTAATGTTCCATCCTGGCAGGCTAGTCGGCTAATGGGATATCAGCCGACTAGCCTGCTGGTCTTTGTGACTCCAAAAGTTTCCTCCTTGTTCCCACAGATTTTTTTTGCCAGAGTGCAACATCACTGGTAGCTTATATTGCCATACTATGCCTCCAGTTTTACTGACAGATCGTGCACATATTAAACAAATGCAGTTAGATGACCCAGTCACTGCCCAGCTGTCCAGAAATCTAGGAACAGACCCATGTGCAGACGTGAGTGGAAACAGTTCCTCATCATCTTTTGTTTACCATGGTCTACTCTACTATAAAGACCCAAAGCACAGATGTGGTTTGCATCAATTGAAATACCTTAAACACTCCATGGTACCTTGCTCAGTTACTATCATGACCACCCCACTGCACGTCACCGTGGTATTTCCCAAGCACTCGTAGAACTGTAGTCTAGGTTTTTTTGGCCAAAAATGGCAGCGGATATCAAACTTTATGTTGCTTCCTGTTCAGTCTGTCAGGTTATTAAATCAAGGTAGGTTTTGTTGACAATTTCTCCAAGTAGATTAAGGTGTGTGTGGTTAGAGGGGCAACAGCACAGGTGGCAGCCAGTAAGTTTGTCAGTGAAGTATTCACCAGACACAGTGCCCCTACCTGTCTTAGAAGCTCACCATTTGTGACTGAGCCGTTTGAGCACATCAGCTCCACCCTAGGATCCATGCATTACAGCCTGTCACCCTCAGACTAAAACTGTATTATAAGCTTATGTTGGAATCTTATGACAATCAAACTTCATGGAATAAGTTTCTTTCCCAGATCTGCTTTGGATTGCATATAGCTCCTCCTCCTTCATGGATGGATACATAGTGTCATACCCAGAAACTCTTAGAGCCTTCCTGCTGGAAGCCCATAACAAATTTAAACTTTTTAAAAGTTTTGTATCCTCTTATGTCTGATGTAAAATTAATACAGCATTTTATAAAAAGATCATGCCAACAGTCAAACAAGATGGTGTTAGTGTGATGGTCCGGGGCTGCTTTATTGCTTCAGGACTTGGATGACTTACCATAATTGATGAAACCATGAATTCTGCACTATTCCAGAAAATCTTGATGGAGAATGTCTAGCCATCAGTTCATGCCCTAAAGGGTGGCAATGATCCAAAACACACCAGCAAGTCTAGCTCTGGATGGCTCAAATGAATAAATAATTAAAAAAAAAATAAAAAAAAAAGAGTTTTAGAGTGGCCTAGTCAGACTTTTAAATCTGACTGATCTGATCTTTGACGTGATCTTAAACAAGCCATTCATGGTCAAAAACCCTCCAATGGGGCTGAGATACAGTAAAATAATTCTGAAAAGAAGAGTGACTTGAGAGACTCATTGTCAGTTATCCGAAATGCATGAAATCAGTTCTTGCTGCCAAGAGTGGCACAACCAGGTGCAAGGGGCACCACTTTTTTCACATAATAATAATGTGTATGTGTTAGTCCCCATAGGGAAATAGTTCCTCTGCATTTAACCCATTCACCCAGTGAAGCAGTGGGCAGCCACCAATGCAGCGCCCGGGGAGCAGTGTGTAGGGACGGTACCTTGCTCAGGGGTACCTCAGGGTAGCCGTTCAGTAGAGTTGAACCCCCGACCTTCCGATCATGGGGCCACCACTCTACCTACTGAGCTATCCCTGCCCCGAGGTAGGTTGGGTAGGTTGGATAGCCTTTTCTTTTAATAAATAATATCATCATTTAAAAACTATTTTGTATTTGTGTAGTATTAAATTGAGTGAAATATGTGCTATAAATATAAATATGCAAAAATTAATTACTTTTTTTTTTAAAGCACTGTAGATGACTTGTAGAAAGAGGACTGCCAAAAAGTTAAACTTAGTGCTACTTTCAGAAAATCATGTGCCACTAAAAACAATATCTGGAAGAATGCATTTTCTTTCTTGGTGAACAGTATGTACGCACACGGATAAGGTAGACCTAAGTTATAATGGTCCTAGTTTGTGCCTGGCCCTTACGCCCTTTGGTGGTTAAACAAAATTAAATCACTTGACCGAAAAGAAAAAAAGAAAAGGAGAAAAAGTGGGTCGGTGTAAGATGTAGCACTGTGGTTATCGTTTGTATTCCTGCACTTTCATCTGTGTCAAGTTGCACCAAGTTTATTTGTAGAGTGCTTTATCGACAACAGTTTAGAATGGGAAATAGAGCAATTACATCACAGACTCAGAGAAATGGGGTCACAGTGTGTGTGTATTTGGAAGTGGGAAAGTAGCATGTTGCCTCTGTGAACATAGTTTGATGGAATAACACGTGAGCCTGTTATAAAAGCTGAAGGTGCTGTGTGGTGGAGTGGATGTAAGCTGAATTTACCAATGGATGTTTATGACTCAGGGAAAACATTGTGTCATCTTTCTCTCAGTCTTGCTTTGGACACTAGCTACCATCTCGTGTTTCAGAATATCACATCTGTCATTACTCTGTGTCAAATGGCACATGCTGGACACTCAACTTCTGGTGTAGAATCTGGAAAATGGATGGATGGAAGGAAGGAATATAGGCTTGGTTGTAGCAGAGACAAAAATATCAACACATGAAAATTGGAGATGCACTGATTGTTTGGTTTTTATCTAACTGGCTCGGACCAATGATTGGTGGATTGCCAACTGATATATTCAATTCTGTGTTGATGTGATACAGTTGATATTAACCATTGCAGAAATGTAAATACATGTCACATTGACATATACTTCAACAACAGTATTTGTTCTGCTTGTTAGCAATATGCTGTGCAAACATGCAGTGAGCTTTAATTGTATGTGGTCGCCTTATGCTAACACAGTATCCTGTTATCTGCCAGTGGACATGTGTGCATAGGGTGCATCGCATCCCTGTGTCTCCTGTGAGAGTCTGTCATGTCCTCTGTGTAGGTTTCCTCGGTCATGTCTGCATCTCGGTAATGTCTCATCTCCATTTACTTTCCCCATGTTCCTCTCCTTGTGTTTCATCCCTCTCGCTCCCTCGTCCTCTGTGTGTCTTAGTCGTGTCAGGGTCTTTTGTCCCCCTGTTTGCTTATCCCCATCTCTGTGTCAAGCCCAGGTGTCTTCGTCTATGTCTCTGTCTGCTTCCTGTTTATTTTGACAGTCTCTTGTCCCGTGTTCAGTGTGTTTAGTTTTGCTTCCCTTGTGTTGTTATGTTTATTCATCCCAGCTGTGTTCCCATGTGTTTCCTTCTCCCTAATCATCCCTGTGTGTACACTTTGTGTCAGTTTTCCTTTGTCTCTTGTCGGATTGTCTGTTTAATCTTCTGTGATCTCAGGATTTCCACGTTTCTTATTTCCATGTTTCTCTTGTCTTTTTCCAGTTCAGTTAGAGTTTATGGTTTCCTTTGCCTTTGTTTTTGTACCCTTACCAGTCAATAAATTGTCTCGCTTTTGGTTAATTCCCGTTTCACGCCTCGTTCCGTCTGCATTTGGGTCATCACCTCAAACTCCAAAAGTCTGCAGCCATGGAGCATGAGTCACCTCTCTTTTGGAGTTACTTTTTTTGTGAAAATAACTACATTTGGTTAATGTAAAATAACGCAATCTTCCATGCTTGGCTGGTACTCTTGTTTTTTTTAGTTACAGAGAAACACAGACATGTAACACATGACAGACATAGTGAGATATTCAATTCATTTTCAATTCATCAGCTTTGGATTTATACAAAAATGCTCTATCCAGAAATCTAGGGAATTTCATTTAGAGCTACAAAGTGGCAACCTAGAATTCCCAGAAGAGATTTTGTGTGTCTGAGTATGTACCTTTCTGCAAGGCCTCTCTTAGTTAGGCCTGATATAGTGATGGGGTCAAAAGGCTCCTCAGTGCCAGAGATGGTGATACCCAGAGGGCCTCCGTACCGCTTCAGTTCCACTGTGTATATGATGCTGCCTGATGTCTCCTGCTCATCTGATACACACAAACACACATACACGCACAAGCAGTCACACACAGAGACACACACACACATTAATCTAGTGTTTCAAGTCTGAGGAGTACATTATACCGTCTGATGGATGCTTCTTATCTGATGCACACGCACACAAAACACTTCAGGTCACTAAGTAATACTGGATCCCATTACCTGCTCACTGGAAATGTGCACACACAAACACACTTGATTCCAGAAGTAGGTCAAAACGCTTCTTGAGACTACACTGGTAGGCAAGACACAGTTTCCATGGTAACCAAGGAAAAGACTGCCTTGTCATCATATAGCATGCACACATGTTATTTCCTCCTTGTGTGTGTTTGTGCCTGATGACTACAGTCTCATTATTTACCCTCATTACACAGTCCCTAACTTAGTTTGTGTGTGTGTGTTCACGTCATATTATATAACTTGAATGTGTTTATATGTATACACAAATACAAGGTGTAAGCTGTAAGACTGTTAAAATGTGAATATGCGACCATGCACAAAAGTCCTTAGATGGATTAGGACTCTAGGCTACTGCTTGTTGTTTCCAGTTCCCATAATAGGTCACTGCACATTTTTCTATATAAAATTATACTATATTGTAAAAACATGTTGGATTTATGTTGTAATTTATAATACATTCTTTGTTTCACATGAAGACCATTTTAGTTGTGTCAGTGTCCCAGAGTTTTGGACAATAGTGCCACCTTGTGGTCAAACCTCATTTGTACAGCTTTCTTTTTTTTCTGACGGTAGCTGAAATAATAAACTGAAGAAAACTTAAAACATCAGCTTATCTCAGGTCAGAGCTCTGTCCCTCAAATATAGAAACAACTATATTCACAAAAGTACCTGAGTTGTCTTCATCTTTACGTATTTTTAATTTGACGAGTTCCTCACACTGCTGGAGGATCTGCTCCGCATCATCTCTGGAACAGTTTTCAAGTCTGATGTTGTCAATAGCCAGCAGCTTATCTCCAGGCTCCAGTGTTCCTGTTCTGGTGGTGAGAGAGTGAAAGAATAGAGAGTGACAAAGAAAAAAGAGAGAAAAAGTCAAAGCATTTGAGACTCTCTTAGATATTAATCAAGCGCTGAAGTAAAAACACTTATGTTACTAAGTTGAATAATTTCTATAATTTCAAATTTAAAAGGGCTCAATGGAATTCTAAAAAAAGTGTAACTTTATGAGTATATGATATGACATAGCTTGCTCCTCAATATATTAGTTGGAAAATAAATACAACACCCATAAACCCAGCCACTCAGAAAAACAAAAAAACCTGTATTGAGCTGGCTAGTTTTAGTGGTCCTTGCTATGTAAGTCTCCAAACCTCTATATAATTTATATTGTTAGAAAGTGGTAGTGCTCACTCTTATTACTTACTTTTGAGCACTATTCAGCTGCTTATTAACACAAAAATCTGAGCCCATCCACAAGGCAACAACACAGCGCATTTAAGTATATAAATATAGTCAAAATGATCCCTTTAGTATTAAATGTCCATCATTTCAACACAACCCGAGCATAAGATCTATTTCTTTATGACTGCAGTGTACCCGTCTTCTGATGTTAAAAAGGTGTTTGATACTATCGTGTTAATATGGACCAAAAAAATTTCTTCCAGTGTCCAGCACGTTGCTGAATATAGGACACAAAGGATTAAGGCAAGGGGGTCTATGTTAAAGCTCATATCACTGTAACTGTGTATTACTGTGAACAAGAGAAACACACATGACTAGTAAAGTCTGGTGTCCTTTAGTTCTTAGTGTGCAATTTACTCTAAGATTAAAAACAAAACAAAATAGCCCAGAAGGTGATACATTGTAACAAGTGTCATAAAACACAAGGACAAAGTGAACTATAATATGGATATAAATTCAAAAACAGAAAACAAAACAAAAAAAAACAAACCCCAGAACAAAATTAAATTGAAAATGATTCTTTTTAAGGTGGCAGACCCCCCCCCCCCCCCCAAAAAAAGCGAAACATGCAGTCCTTACAAAGGAATATAACACTAGTCCCTAAAAAAATACCTGTGAGCCATGCTCCCCTTCTTGATGTCAGAAATGATAAGAGGCTCCCCTGGCTTCTTACTGGCTGTTAAGGTAGATGAAACCATAATAAGATTTAGAAGGAACAGCAGCAACAACATCAAAATATAACATGTCAGTCAACAAATAAAAATAACAACAACAACAACAACAACAACAACAATAATAATAATAATAATAATAATAATAATCAGTTCAATATAAATAGTAACATTAAGGTTGTATAGTCATCCATCCATCCTCTAATATCACCTCTTTAATCCCATCAGGACAAATTGCCTGCACGCAGATTTGTCACAATAGCCAACATTTTGGGTTCCCTGCTCTCTGAGCGTGAGCCCAGAAGCTCCATGTCTTTGCTAGCTGTGAATATTTTCTGTTCAGCAGGTGGCACCATTGCACCATTCTCTTGTCTCAAATGCGGCCAAGGAACAACCTGCTTTATACCATTTTATATACACCATACATCAGAATTGTGACAATATAACTTAATTTGAGGTTATTATCATTAGTTATTTAGATGGTTACAACTATAACACATCACTACAATGTCACTGAAGAACAAGGGAGTAACAAAATAATAAAATCCCACATTTCAGGGCTGAAAATGACCAGAGGTAAGAGAATTGGTTTGATTTGGACATTTGATTTACATGATAGCTCAAACATCCTGTCTCTTTAGCTAGGAAAGTTGAAATAAGGACAAAAATGTTTTTATGCGCTTAGACTCGCTATAGTTACACTATAGTATACTCTCAGTTATCCTGTAGGACTGGTTTGCAGAAATAACTTAAGAGAGCTGCACTGTTTCTGCGGTGCTTATGTCTTCAGCTATTTTTCTTACACGATATATATATACAGCACTTTTAAATGCAAATGTGTGGCAGGGATATGAAATGTCACTTGGTATCAGCAAACATCAGAGGCAGGCATAGTAGGCATGTGCAGATACACACAAGGTGCACACAAGGTTTTTAGCATTGATGCCTAATGTAAGAAGGGATAGAGAGAAAATAAGAGAGACTAAAAGAAAGTACATTCACAGCTGCATCTCCTTCAGTACCCCCCAATCATGTTGAGTGGACAAAGGGGCATGTGGAACTGGCAACGCCAAAAAGATACACAAAAGCAGGTTTACTCTGAGGATTTAATGGCAGCATTTTTACAGGCAGTCAAGACAATCTTTAGGAGCCAGATATCACACCTCGATTTAGTATTTACTCCAAAACACAGACAATGATTTACATCACCATTAAAAAATATATAACATATTAAGTTAAGGCCCAAAATCCTAGACATAAAAAGTGCATATTTTCTTTAAAGAAATTCAACATAGTGGACAAGAAAAATAAATAGGCATTGCCTGCTTGTTTTCTTCCACACAACCTCCAGCAAAATTGCTGGGGCCCAGCCGTCTTCAATTATCTTCTCTTTAAATATTTAAAAATGTGTCAGGTTCAGTATTTCGCCTGTCACTGAGCTAATGCTTCTTAAAATAATACAGCGTGGAACACTACATTATACCCACATTCCAGGCTAGGTATAATTAAACACTGAATTTAGGTCATTCCCAGTGAAGAATGAAAACTGTGCTATAAAGCTTTACAGATACAGTTAGCGTGTGATGAATTACTTTCTCAATAACCACTTTTGACTGGCAGAATAATTCCAAGTCTGCAGGGTAAATGCGCAAGTGTGTGCTTTTATTTTTGATTACAAATGTTTAAGGCGACATTGTACTGTATACACTACATGACCACTGATCATTGCGCCCATGTGTTCTTTTTGAACATCAACTTTGGAAAGGCTCTATGGATTCTGCAACATAAATTTACTCCTATTTATTTAACACACAGTGAGGTTGACCATTGATGTTAGCGGGTAGCTCATAGCCAGTATTTTTGTTCATCTCATAGTATATTTAATGATACCGAGAAATGTGTTTCACAAAAACTAGAAAAATTAACCCTGACCTTGTGCACTCGAATTCAAACTAACATCAACCTACGAACTGCTGCCACAAAGTTTAGCTTCAATTTCTTTTCTTTACTGCAGCGGCACCAGGCTCATCAGTAATTCAGACGTCCTTTTACAGTTCCCTGCAGGGGGATTCCCTGATGCTCCAGCTCAGATGAGATATATATTTTCTCCAGTGAGTTCTGGGTCTACACTTGGATCTCCTCCAAGCCTGGAGAATCTCTAAAGGAAGGTACCCAGGAGGCATCCTTATTAAATCCCCGCACTACTTCATCTTTTGATGAAAAGGAGGTCTAGTTCTACTGCGAGCCCGCCTTAAAATTTTGGAACCTGTCCCCTAATGCAGGGCTATGTCTTAGGCTGTGAACATAGACAAACAACAGGTGAGCAGTCATTCATGTTTTTCTGCTTTGAAGTCCATCTGATAATTGCATGCATAGTTATTGCATAGCAGTGTGGTGTCTGAACCCAACAGATCTATGGAGAAAACTGATTTTGATCACTTAGGATCTCTTTCTTTTGGTCGCTACTTAAAGCTCATGATCATAGATGAAGTTGGAAGAATCAGGAGATGGAATCCAAAGTATACCTTTTCCTCTCAACTGTCTCTTCTCCACAATGGACCATTGAAGTGAAGTTCAAAGCTTGGTCAAAAACATCACTGTAGAGATTTTGTGTAGATTTTCCTCAGTTGAAACTAAGTGACTTATCTCTAACTGAAAAAATGCTGGACACACAGTGTAATGCTAGTGGCACCAGAAAGACAAACAATATCTACAGCATTTAATAAACATTGTTGGAATTTATAGCTTAGCTTCTCTGCAGACTTTGTTATCATAAAAAATGCATGTGGGTGGTCGAATGAATTTTAAACATTCTGCCAGCAGCTGTTCAAAACAAAAAGTGGATCACATGAAAAATGTTTCAAGTGTGTGTGTTCCTACCACTGATGGTGAGCCCCAGTTCCACTCCTCTTTTCTTCGGCAGTTTGACGTGGAAAGTACCACTGCTTGGCACCACTGATTCTGCAACAGAAACACAGACACACACTTAAGCATAACCAGAGAAACAAGTAATGTAAAAAGAAACAGATAATACTCTCCTACATGGCAAACGGGGACTGTAAATCCTCATTGTTTGCCTACAGGAGTAAATACTAATTCTACCAGTAAAACACCTTTAAAACTGTAAGCACAGCAACTACGTAAGGCTTTCTGACTCCTTACTTGGATCTGTTTCTTACTTTAGAGTTTGTTTCGCTCACCAAGAAAAGGTCATTTAATTTCCTGAACAGCTTGTGCAGGAAAGCAGACAACAAAACAGATCTACTCAAAGTAGTTAAAAAGGAAAACACACTAACAATCAAGCAAACAAAAACCAATATAAATATAACACTGGGTGAATACTTACCACCCAAATTTAGGGTTATTATCAGTAGATCTAATAAATCTATTCTTTTTAATTTATAGAGTTAGTTATGAGCATCCTTTACCTCCAAATTATCTGCTAGCCATATAACTCAATGAGTGAAAAAGCTACTATTAATAACTGCAGAGACCTCAATCAAACACTTAAATTGTTTGAAAATTCCCACTGACTACCTAAACTGCACAGTACTTTATTTTTTCACAAGGACTTTTTACACTTACAGGTGTAAAAGTACATGCCTGGATGTATAATTCCATTATACTACACATGTATTTTTTTTACCAAGTCTCTTTTGAATCATTATTATGAATAACAACAAAAAAACAAAAATGACTTTTTGAAAAATTATATCAAAGTTAAAAAAGAAAGCAGGTCATTCAGCCTTCACTTACTAGAATGATGAAATTATAGTACTGAACAGATTCCCTTCAAAAGAAGCACTACACTGTATTTATTTAATGTAATTTGATTCCTAAAAAATAATCTTGGATTGATGTAATCCTAATCCGAGTTTAACATTTTCCAAAATGGAATCTGTTGAGACTTTTCTTCTACAGAGAAATCAGAAATAAAGACCCTGAATGAACTCTTCATACTTTCCACAGGGGTTGACAGCATGTCAATGGTGCCATGCTCTGCAGTGAAGAGCTGTATTTATTCTGTCTAATCCTGCCTGTGCTAACACAAAAGCTCACAGCACAGGAATCTCACCAGTATATCCAGTCTGTGAAAATGAGATTATATGTGCTTTTTAAACAAAGGTATGTCTTAAATGGGAGCTATTAAAGAACACAAAGGTGTCTTTCTATTTTGTGAAAACGTTTTTCAGGCTTCGCAAATTAGCAAGGAATATGTATGGTGCATGTGTGACATGGTATAAGGTCTAAAACGTTTTGCCAGGTTTACAAACCTGCTACATCAAACTCTATTTCCAGTGTGACCTTATTGGTCAATGCAGCATCTCGAAGGAGCTGATTGGCTTCCTCGAGTGTTCCGTCTTCTGTGGGGATTCCATTGATCGACAGAAGACGGTCTCCTACCTGCAGCAGGCCACACCTAAGAGAAAATCAAGACGCTTTAGTGATTGGAAAAGCAATGCTTCCATGCTTGACAGGTTGCAGAGAAAAAAGTGGAAAAAGCAAAACAAAAACTCTCCAGCCCTCATTTTATTTTACCAGTGCAGCAAAGTGTGTAATAGTTTCTCCCCTATCTACAACTTCCAGTAAGGTTTTTGTTTTAAAATGATTTCTCTTTTTCAGTTTTCTGTGATGCTCTCAGGATGTAAAAAAAAAAAAAACTCTTACAAAACTGCAGAAAGACTAAAAAGCAACACATAAACAACACATTTCCTCTTTGATTTGTCATTCACATGTACATGCATTGTGCTAAGAAAGTTTTGGTAGTATTAACTAATAACCAGTGTGAATCTGAATGAGGTTTTCTTGCTTTTAAAACAAAACTCATAAATTCTGGTCTCACACTGAATGGATTTAAAGTACTCTGGACTGTTGGTTTAAATATGAAGAAGTAGTCCACAGAGTACTCTGACAGAAACTTTGCAAAGACACAAATAATGGTAACAACAAACCTATCTCACCTACAAGAGTACTAAATGTATTTAGTGATTTTCATGGGATAAAGCTCAGAATTAGGGTTGGGGTTGATATAATGATTAATATAAACATAAATGTAAAAGTAAAGATTTAAGATCTTTGGTCCTGTTCCTATATATATCACAAGGATACATATGAGCATGTAGTACAACTCTACATATAATTCATTTCCCTGTGTTTCATATCCATGCATCATCAACAATGAGATTAAAAACAAAGTATACGTTTCCATAAGGCAAGACACCTTTTTGTGATAAACTGTAATCACTATTAGGACTGACATCTTGCTGGGTTTTAAAAGGAAGAGAAGTTTTTTCAATGGAGAGGAAACCTGTCATTTTGGAGTGGCTTCAACTAAACTAAAGTTCTCCAGTTATTTGTTTACAAGGACGATCTACTGGAGCGCGAGACCACGGTTTCAAGAACTTTCCAAACATCAGCTCACTCAGGCAGTACACCACACTCAGCATTATGTTCACACAAGCTGTCAGATCCTGCTGCCTGAAATAAAGCCTGTTTGTCTCGCTATTGTCTATGCCTATTTAATATGATTACCTCCAGGGTCAAACTGGTCCCAAGGGGAGAATAAAAATTCAGGCATTTATGTTTGCTAACTGTCAGTAGCTGCCCTATCTGGAATTTTTCCCCCTCCTTCAATTCGTTTTACAGACAGATGACAGGAGCGTAAGCTTATGACTCCCCACTGTGTTACATTTCACATTATTTTTAGATACTGTGGCTTTTATGCTGCTGTTTAGCTATTATTTCCAAAATACACCAACCCTGGCTGCTCATTAAATAAACGACTGTTGGAATTAAATCAAAGCGCATTACCTGTGACTATTAAATTCAGGAATCATGTGCCTTTTCTGTTGATATATTATCCTCTGATATTATTAATATGTCACTGTTTATTCAGACTTAAAGCAATTCCAGCTTTCTTGCTTTTCAAGGATCTGGAAGGAAAAACTTGATGAGAAGATCCCCGTCTGTGAGTCAGACTATAATACTCCAGCCTAACAGAATAAGATAGCTCATGCAGTGAGCTTCAGAAGAAATTAAAAACAAATGCAATGTGTGGCTAAGAAAAGCAAAGGAAGGTAAATATTTGAGTAGCTTAAACGTGTGAAACACAAAACTGGCTAAACAATAGAAATATGGAGTGTTTTTGGGTAACTTTTGTGGCTTAAGGGTGAAATGTCAACTCCTAGAATTGACCCAAAGCCAAGTTCCTTCTTGCAATGAAATTATTACAACAGTTATCCACTTCTGCACGAAGGTGACATCTGACAGAAGAAAATGAAGATGAAATGTTTTTGTCTCCGTTTAATTCAGCCTCACTGTAATGTAGTTGGTGCCCTATAGATTTCCAGGACATCTAGGTTTTTTCTTTCATGTGACACACATGCACAAATGAGGCACTGTATCTTCCATTAAGCCACGAGTGGGTGACTTGTATTAATATACAGCCAGACATCTTCATTATGATTTACCGAGGATAAAATGGTCTGCCATAGCTCTCATTCCTGTCGTTCTTTCTCCTCCATTTCCCATTAATTGTTCAAGAACCCCAAGTCCTTTCTTCGCTTTCGTTGTCTCATTTTTTTCATTCTGTTTAGTGCAGCCCTATGACTGCCTTGTTGTCGTATTAATTTACACTAATAATTTAATTTTCATCTTCTAACCTTAACTGAAGCCAAATGATAAAAGTTACTTTAACAACAACTGGTCATATTTATAATCCCAGACAAACCGTCATCATCAGGACTATAAATGTGCAGAACTAAACAAGTTAAAGTGGGATTAGGATACAAATAGTTGTTTTGTCAGACTCACGCTGCTTCTAAATTTGGCAACAATATCAAGTTCCAATTATTACAGTGAACATCCACCTTCAAACTGCTGTTTGATAACTGACCCATTTTTGTGTGGCTGTTTGTTTAACATTTACTTTGCTGTGTTTTTTTCTGTTTTTAGTGCTCTCTGTTTGCTCATCACTATGCAATCTTCCATTGTAATAGTTGACTGTGCACTTGAAATTTGAAAGTACGACTAAAATTTTAGTATTTTTATTATATTAAAACATGTAAAATACACTCCACCTTACATAAATCTGTATGTATGGAGTTCTCATGGTGGTTTGTGTACACAGGCAGATAACGTGGCTCCCTGCTGTCTTAATATTACTCTCTATGCCATTATCATTTTTGGGGAAAAGGGCCAAATAAGGCAAGAAATTACTGGAGCATAACTAGGTTTATGCTTTTTGAATCTTTTATTAATAGTCAGATTTTTTTTTTTGGCCCCTTCCTTTTTCAAAAATAAACATTAAATATAGAAACCTTTAGTGGTACAATATACACATTTTAAATTATGGCAAATGGTCTACCATTTACAAAACAAATCTTCCAGCATTCGCAGCACCAAAGGAAAATAATTACAGGTTAAAACCTTAAAAAGAGCTCCACAGACCACTGCTGCACAAATCGTACAGTTTTAAAGGCTATAAGTTGTGGATAATTGTAATTCGGGGTGGTGTAAAGGGGGTTATTTGGATTCACACTGCCAAGCGGAAAGAAAGGTACTTATTGATTCCTCCAGAGTGGGCAAAGGGAAGCTAGCTAATTAGTGTTGTTAGTGTGGGCGCTAATGGAGTAGGGAGTGTGGCCTCAGGGTGCCGAAACACACCCAGCACTTACAGAAGCTGTTAATATGATGGAAACATCAACATCAATCAATGGACACGGACATAAGCACAGCATCATGATCCAGACACGACTAAGAATTCATACAGAGACTTAAATGAAGTTGTGAACAAATTACTGAGAAACAGCAGACACAAGCATGCAGAAGACTGTGGGCACGCACACACTTGCATGTCAGTGTTCACAAAAAAACCCTACTTATGCACAGAAATTCTTCCAAACATTTAAACACCCACACATAATACAGAGCCAAGAAGAGCTGCTAATACACCAAAACATCAGTCTAACACACCCACCCACACTAACACTGACATCCAAACACACACAGGGAAGCTAACTAAAACTCTGTTAATGCAACATTAAAGTCGGCATTTGTCCTCAAACAAACAGAAGGCCATTTGTACAGTTGTTGTACAACTACACAAATACAAGTGAACATCCTGTTACAAAGTTTTTAAATTACACATCTATAATTTTACTACACTGTAACTGTGAGGAAAGGTCATATTTTACCCATGTCTATTAACAGTTTTTACATGCACCAATGTGGGTCAAATTAATAAGAAAGGTGGTTTTAAGGAATCTTAAAACTTTATATGTCATGTCTGGGTGTATTTTATACGAAACAGTGACAGAGTTCAAAGGATACTTTGACTTTGCCACCATGTTGCTACCATATTTGCTCCACAGAGACAAGCACTAGTTAGTCTTTGAAATATCATGTGGAAATCTCAAAGCAGTATAGGAGTGATAAAATATGGTGCATATAAGTCCCATAGCTACTGAACACACATCTAAATAATACTATATTTGCACATTTTGCATCTTGCACATGTCTTTGTCCTGTCTCGTCTACAATATCCGGACAATAACTTGAACCTGGTATTCAATACCTACTGCACAATCCACTTTGTATTGTTTCTGTCCCTGTCTTTATTTATCGTACATTTAGTATTGTATAGTTAGCATTATAGTATTGTATAGCATTGTATAGTTTGTAATTAGTACCTTTTTATCCCTTAATTTTACCGAAATTTAACATGCTATTTATTTGTAAATCCTAGTTTTATATCTCTTGGAGATATATCTTTTATATACTTATAAATGCACCATGGGGGGCTTGGGGTGAAACAGCATTTCGGTACCTGTATACTGTGTATTGACAATAAAGCTCTTGAATCTTGAATCTAAAATAGTCATAATAAGGAAAGAGGGTGTGTTGAAGGGTGGTGCCTTGTAATAGACATGAGATCTGAAATAGGGTGGCGTGGTGATACAGTGCTTAGCACTGTCACCTCACAGCAAGAAGGTTCCCAGCAAGCCTCTTTCTGCGTAGATTTTTCATGCTCTCCCTGGGCTGTGTGGGTTTCTTCTGGCTACTCTGGTTTCTTTCCACAGTCTAAAGACATGCAGTTTGGTTAACTTGTAATTCTAAATTGCCCACAGGTGTGAGGTGCGGTGCTTAATATTGATGGAATAAAATAATGTCTGTATGTATGGTTAAAGTGTAATTAGAAGCACTGAGGAATCACTAAGACTAGGAAAGCACAATATAAATTTAAGTACTTGCATAGTCCAACTACTGCTGTATTTTCAGATCTCAGATATAACTGTGCTTATGGCAGATTTGTATTTAATGTAGGGTCACTTTTACTCAACTTCACAAGTTGAGACAATGTGAGATGTTATAGTTTTTTTTTTACTCATTTTTATTTCCACACAGGATTGTTGCTTAAAGGAATGAGTTATTTGAAGAGTCCTCTTTCCATCATGTTTGTATATGCCAACTGTGTGTCATGCCTCTTATAGACAATGAGGTTGAAAACACTTGCACAAAGGATACACCTGTGCACCTTCTATATATCCCTTCTGACAAGCCACTTCTGTCCTCTCTCTTCCAGATGCATTTTGGAATTGAAACAGTGTAGCATACTAAAATTGATTTTTGGGTTAATGATAAGACAAAGAATGGAAGTGACTCAGAGGCACAAATTAGCAACACAAGAAAAGCCTGTGACTATATGTCCACAAAAGACTGACTAAAGACACAGACACAGGTGGAAACATGGCTAGCTGGGAACCAGAAATAAAACAATGACGGTGGGGCAGTGAATCACAAAGCAGGGAAACAAAAACAAGACTTTTGACATTGTAGTGCCAAAAAAAAAAAGAAAAAAAGTCAGACTAAATTTGATATTGCAGTGAAAAAGCTACAGATGACAGTTATTGTAGTTTAGATTTAATTTATGCTACAAACGTGCATCCTTATGACTGGGTCAGCATGCACGCTCACCTCTCTGCAGAGCTGTCAGGCTCTATGAATCGAATAAGTGGTGGTGCTGACAGCGTTTCGGTGGCAAATATTCCTCCCTGTAGTTGTACACCAAAGCCGTTCAGTGGGTCACCTGTTAAGACAACCTCACTGGTCTCTACATGAACCACCTGACCACCTGGACCCACCGAACTGGAGGCCAGGGACACTAAAAACACACAGACACATAGATTACAGTTAGTTTCATCCCTTCTGGGAAATTAGATCCATCATGCAAAGACACAGGGAGATGGAACCTACAGGAGCTCTTATGCTCTTTCTTTCTCTGCCGCCGTTTAAGCAGTGAATTACGGGGACTCATGGGAACAGTGGGCCTGGGTAACGTGCTCGAGCTCTGGCTGCTGGGGCCAGAAGTGGTTGTAGAGGCAGGAGAGAAACTGGCTGATACAAGAGCTGCAAAAAAAGAGTGAGGGAAAAGAAGTCTATTTTCAATATTGCAATACATGAGCAATAAATTAGACTTTTAAGAATTAAATTAAAAAACCGAAGAAGTAGATGCTAATAAATCTCTTTCTTTGTCTGGGAAATGGAAAAGGAAAACAAAGAGTCAAAGAGCACATGTTAAATACCGCAAACATGGATATGTCAGGTAAAATTTTCTTGTTTGGTGCTTTATTTTCACAGCATGGCGGCTGAGTAGTTAGCAGTGTTGTCTCACAGCTGTAAGGTATTGGGTTTGGTGAGAAATGTATATGCTCTCCTTGTGCTTGCTTGGGCCTCTTTCGAAACCTCCAGTTTTCTTGTCATATTTCCACATGACCAAAGACACTGCACTGCACAATGCCACGTATATTTAAAATATATGCCTATGATGCTTATCTTTAAATCACAAGATGAGAATTCATAGAGACATGCTTTAAATAGTCTTAAAAATATGTAGAGATTTTTAAAATAGATCTTTTTAAACAACACTACATATACATTCCACTGGGCAGCATACATTTGATGTCTCATTTACCCTTTCACAGACATTGCCTGCCATCATCAATAAGCCAAATACCATTCGGCAATGAAGTCTAAATTAATGCATACAGCTTAATTTAGACTTCTACTAAAAATTTCTGGTCTTACTTATGTAGTACCAAGTTGTGTTGTGTTTGTGTTCTTACACTTGCAGTAGTCAAGGTTGTTGATTGTGTTGTTGTTAGAGGCTGTCCACGATTTATTGAGGGTCGAACTTGTGTTGCAGAGAGTGGAGTTTGGAGGGGGACAGTAATTAACACAAGGGTCCCAGGAGTGGGGATGGTCCGACTTCTGAACCTTGACTGCAAAACACATGCAATGAAACATGAGCATTGAATTTTAATACTTCTAAAATCAATGGCTAGGTGTAGGCTAAACCAACCTTACACCAACTCTTACATAATTTTAATAATAAAATAATAACAAAATTCAAATGTCTGAACCTAAATTAAAAGTTTCTAGATTTTGTGTACATGTAGCATTGCTCTTCCTATGCTATCAGCCCACTAAATGGCTTCTATCAGGCTAAATCATTGTCACAGATATAGGTAGGAGGTACCCTACCATGTCTGCTATTTGCCAAGAAGGTGAGTTATCATCCATTGTGATCACTGATAAGGAGAAATTAATGCATATGTTACAGAATTGCAATTTATAAAATTGTGAATTAGAGATTCAGACATAATAACTCATCTATAACCTATATAATAGGTATATCTCTCATTATGGCTGTCTTCCTGTTATGTGTACAGCTTGTCTTGCCCCGTGTCTCATCCAAATATGATCACACAGAGCACACATTCCATGAACTTCATGTAATCTTGATTGCCATGGGCTGTCACAGACAGTATCTGTATATTTTTCATATTAAAACCATTCTAACTGCTTGCTGTTTAGCTAGTTAGCTGTGCATTATCTACTTTTCCTCAATGGATTGAATCTTTTAGGCTGATACTGATTGACGTGTCGTTAGACCTCAATGTTTTCTTCACAGAGATCTTGTAACTCTCACCTCACCTGGCCGCTCACCCTGGACCAATTTGCTTTGACCCTACCAGGGGCAAATCGACCCTACATCATAGCCACCCAGGTAACCACTGCACAGAGTAGTTCAAATGTCACCAGCACATCTACCACTTAAACCCTATATGTTTGTCTGTGAAAATCCCAGAAGATCTGTAGTTTCTGAAATACTAGGATCAGGCACCGTCTGGCACTGACAACTATGTCATATTCAAAACCACTTAAATCACCTTTCTGTCACATTCTGAAGCCTGCTTTGAACTTCAGCAGGTTGTCTTGGCTTCGTCTATATCCCTCAAAGCATTCAGTTGCTGCCGTATGTTTGGTTGATTAGATATTTGTGTTAATAAGCACTTCAACAGATGTACCCAGCAAAGTGGGCTGTGAGTATTTAAGGCAGTGATGACATTACTTTTCAGCTTGATTCATTCATTTATCAGTTAAACTCTACAACAAATTTCATCTGAACTGTGATTAAAAGAGATATAAAACTTTTTGGGTTACTAACACTCACATACCAACCAATCAGGTGAACATATTTCCAAAAATACCTATTATATGACAACATATAATTCAATACCTTACTGTATTGCATTTAATCCAAACTAATTTCACTGTCACTTAATTAGGTCCTTGAAAAAGTGTCTCTAAGCTACATTCAGCTGCTCCCTTTGTCACAAGTGGTGAGCACAACAGATGGCTCCACATGTTTGATTTGGCAGAATCCGGAATCCAGATGCCAGATGCCCTTTCTGACGCAGCCGCAAAGACAAGTTGTGTCGGGAATTGAATCAGTGACTATTTGCTTGTTACCCATTGCATTATGGAGAAAGTAAAAAAATGAGTTGACTGTGTCATCTGCTAGAAATTCGCATTTCTTCAGTTTTGGGGGAAAACCTCTTTTGAGGAAACTCCCACTGAGAATTTAATGATACAATCGAGGCTGACAACCTGACAATCTACACAGCTTTGTGTGTAATTCCCCTTTACGCTCGTGTATCTAAACTCTGAAGTTTATCTGAAGCTACTCTGTGCTGTCACAGCCATCCAGCTGAGCTATTGTATCCTTGACGTGTGAGGCCTTTTATCTAAACTACTCTGATGGCAGGACGTGTGAGGAGCGGAAGTGTTGGGCAACCTCGGGGTGAGATCCGTGAAATGAGGAAACATGTTTTCATCTAATCCTCCTTGGGTAAAAATGAAGTCATTATGTCCAGTGAAACACACCGGAGAGACGGTCCTTCTGACAAGGAACGGCAGCAGTAACACACACTGTAAATGCCCACAGACAACAGACACATAACAAAGCCACTTTGAATTAACACTTATACTCATTTACACATGATATATTATGAGAAGATACACAAAACATGAGAACATTCTAAGACACATTTGTGTCTAGATTTAACAAACGTAATCTATGTGGCAAGAAAACCGACTGAAACTTTACTCACACACACAACTGCAAAACCTTTCATCAGAGTGTCTATTAATAAGGCAGCAGCAAGCTGGCTTTAAGGTCTGCTGCAAGGACATCAGTATCCTAATGAGCTGTGTTCATTTCCTAACACACACAAATGCACACATGTACACACAAAGGCGGTCACAAAACTGTGATTAGAAGAAGGAAAAAAAAAAATTTAGCTTCTTGCAGACAAATGAGATGAGATGGTGACCTTTCGAGTGAACAAGTGTGTCTGTGTGTGCTGTGTTCACACGTGTAACTCCAAGAAATAATACCAGAACACAACAGAGCTATAAAAGAGAAAAAGAGCAAAGAGGAACACTAGAAAATAATTTCAAAATGGAAGGAGATGAACATTTCTGAGATGAGGTATGTGTAGAGAATAAGAAAAGTCAAAGGCAGAGAAGAGAGGAGAGGAAAAGGACAACGGTTAGGAGGAGGTTGTAAGCAGTTTTTGACAGCTGGAAGAGAGGTGTAATGACTTTAATTAAATCCCATCTTGCCTTTACACTCCCTGTCACTCTATTTTTCATTCATGTGCCATTTCTCTTTTCAGCATTCACTTTTTCATCTGTTTTCATGCTGAGAGCGATCTTCCACCACACAAAAGTTTCTATTGAAAATAGACTAATGGAAAGGTTTTAGTTTAGTTCAAGTCTAGAATATCTAGTTTTTCTTCTCGGTCTTAAAGCCGTTGCTTTAATCCCATCTCTGTCATCCTCTCCTGGGAATCTCTAATCGACCGAAACACATTAAAGATTTTCCTCTAACAAAAAAGATTTTTTTTAAAAAGGTTTTGGGGAAAAACAAAATAAAACTATACAGCGTCTACAAGTAGAGGATCGTGTTGACTGTGATGCGTTTCTATTTATTAACAATATTCATTGTGTGAGTGTGATGTGTACACTTGTCATACTTAAGCAGCCTCAGCTGCAAGCATTAACACATGAACATACGATAAAAAACTAGTTACTGGAATCCGGATTTCCCCTCTAAATCCATTGGCACCAATTCTGTCACAGATGAGAAGCCATCACTTGGCTATGGGTGAGCTAATTAGGAACAAAGTTGCCATTGCGGCCAAATTATTCCTCAAGTAGAGTTGTATTAAAAAAAGAGGCTGAAAGACATCGGAATGAATGGGATTTTTTTTTTTTTTTTTGCTACTCAGATTTGCTAAATATGCATGAGGTGACTTAATTGTGGCGAAGACTAAACAAACTCTCCTTGGTGGTTTTTACTCTGCTTTTTTTTTTGGAATCCGACTTAATAGCTGCCAAATCAGAGCTGACCAGGAATTAAATACACAGATGGTCATTGTTCTTCAATAATTAGCATTTGTCATGCTAAATATTACAAATACTGCTATCTAACTATGTTTCCTGCTGTTAAATGTCAGTACAACATGCTCTGGCAAAAAATGTCTGCTTAATTTCATAAACATGTATGCAACAAAAACAAAACAAAGCGAGTGATATTAAAAATAAATAAATAAACTGTTAAGTGATTAAGTGATTCTGAAGCTCTGGCTCCAAAGGTATACTACACATGAAGAGTGATGAACAAAGCTGTGCATGGGTAGAAAGACAATTTAACAATTTTAGGAGTCATACCTATTCAAATAAGAGCAATGCAGCAGGCTGAAAAGATGGCAGCATCAGCCATCATAGTAGAGGCTTGAGCCCGCAAACAGAGTTGAATCATTATGATTTAACAAGGTTGTTCCATAATTACCAGTGGCTTTTTTTTAACTTTACCCAAATGACAGATAAAATATTGACAGATAAAACTGTAAAATTTTGATTACTAAAATAACCAAAGAGTTTACTGGGAATCTGATGGCCCTAGCTGTTACACTCACCCGTGTCATGCTGTTTTCCAGTTAACCTCGTTTGATGCGAGGGAAGAATTTCTAATTTAACCAGTTCTGTTGTGCTTGCTATTAATTGTGTTGCCTCCAGAACCGTACAGTGCTCTGTTGATGTCCCATCAATAGACAGCAGGTGATCCCCAGCATGCAGTGCTCCACATCTAATACAAAAGAGACAAAAAGAGAATAAGCACAAAATGTTATCGCCACAATACACTGGATAAATAAACAGAACACAAATAGCTTCCATTCTGTTTCAGAAAAGCTTTTTTTTTGTTCTTTTGCCAACAGTATATAAGCTAAGCACATTAATCTGCTTAGCTCACAACGGCATGCTGCCGTGCTGGTCAGAATGATATCGCTGCTCTTCACACAGGGGTTAGATTTTACAAACTGACTTTGCAATCATGTGGGAATGAATAGTGCCAGAGCACAGACCTCTGCAGTCAACTTGTCCTGTTGACTGAGGTTATTTTAGTACTCATTTCAGCACTGACACAGATTTCAAGTGCTTCATGTATATTTTAGAGGTAGACTGGAGCTGAAAGCAATATCCCGTCTTCTGATGTCTGTGTAAGTTATAAGGTTGGACACAGTCTATGTGTGTTTATCTGTGTCTTTCTTACACAGAGAGGATATGCTGTAAACATAAATGCAACCACTGCAAATCTGTAATCCAACAGCAGAATCAAATTAGATCTTGAAGGGGAAACTATAAAGTCCACCATTTTTCAACAAAAGAGAAATATACAGCTGACAGATGTTTGCAAAAGTGTAAACTATATATTCTTGTGCACTAGCCCTGTTCTCGAGAAAATAATTTTTGTAGCATTCCAATACATAATATTCTTTTAATGGTAACTTTGCATCAAACAAACCAACCAGACAGACAAAGTAAGGAAACAGTTCTGCAGAGTGAAAACTGTCCATGAAGTACTTACTGTGGATTTAAACTGTACTGAGCTACAATGTTGTCTTAATATCTGAAACATCTCAGAGCTTCTTTCATCCTCTGTTGTAGTTTGACAGCTAACAGAACAAAAAAGTCACTCAGAACTTAAAGGGTAAATCTAGGCAAAACTACAGCTGGCATGTATGCAAACACATACATACCAGTTGTGTTTCTAAGAATATTAACTCTGTTTAGTGAAAAATTACAGTTAGCCAGCATGTTTAAATGTGACACCAAGGATTCTCTTACATATGATAAGTTAGACTGAGGCTGGTTGCACTAATTTCACTGTCTAGGGCATCACAGCTCCCACACCAAAGGAAACTTCCTGTGGGTCTGTAAGACATCAGTGGGTTTTAAACACTGAGAATGCCTGGAGAATGAGTAGCATGTAGATACATACCTGTCCACCACGCTGCCAGGTTTAACCCGGTCGATGACAATGACCTGTTTGTTTTGATGATTGGCTGAAGTCAGCGTGATGCCTAGTGTTGCTCCTGGAGATTTGGCTATTTCCACTAACAGTGGACCAGATGCATTTGCCAGTGAGTCTGAACGGGAAAGAATGAAGTTATTTTAATAATTTGACCTTTTACTGCTTGCTGCTTCTTACAGTCTTAAAATGATCTTAGAGTAATCTACCAAAGTACAAATACCTTAAATATCTGTTTCACCAAGAACAGCACAGTGAAAAAGTTTAAGAGCATATATGTCCTTGAAAATATAACCAGACATGATTAGCAGGGGATTGCTTGCAGTGCTTTTCGGGCAAGTTAAACTGAGCTGTTTTACCCAGAAAAATGAGGCAGACCTTAGCGTGAGGTGGCAGAAAATGCCAACACATCAACAGCAATCACAACAAAAGAATCAACCCCAAAAAAACATTTTTTTAAATTTCACTGGCATTTGAGAAAAAATTTTTTTGCTGCAAGCTTCAATTTGTGTCTCTCTCTGTTAGTTTGGCTTTTTTTTTTTTTTTTTTTGCATATGTCTGTGTGTCTACATGTGGACTCACCGATGATAGTTACATCGTACTCAATTTGGAACAGGGCTTCCTGGCCACATTGGGCCAACACGCTGAGAGCATCACTGTGGTTTGCGTTGTGTAGTGGCACACCATCCACACTGAGGAGACGATCGCCAGGGCGCAGGGTACCTTCTCTGCATGCAGACACGCACACACATCCAAAAAAATGACATTGGATTTTGTGATACAGTGATTACAGAAGACAGGGATTGGACATTACAATTTGCATGTAGTTCCAGCTTTCTTTCTTCCATAAAATTCTAGCGTGTTTAATTTTAACACATCAACAGTTTATTGTCCTTCTTCACTATTCCTTTTACCATCACTATTTCAATCTGACTTCAGATTTGCCTATCTTGTGTCGCTAGGAAAATATTGCAAAAGCAAGCATATAATGTCAGTTAAAAATGACGAAATATCAAATGCCAAACCTTCCCTTTTTTCCCCAACATATTCTGTGTTCTTCATTCCTTCCACTCAGCCCTGTTTGTTCTTTAACTTAGTTCTTCATCTTGCTCATTTCCTTTCTGCCCAGCTAGATCCAAGCCTCTTTCTTCTCCTAACTTTCACTTCCACAATATTGTCTTGTGATCTCATCATCCTCTTTTCTCTCCCCTTATCTGTCTGAGACTTGCAGTAAAAATTCACCTTCATTTCAAATCAAGGACACACATGGAAACAGCATGAAATGTCTTCAGCATTTAAAATGTTGGTCTGTTTTCAGTGCCTGGTTAAAAAAACAACAACAACGAAAGCAAACAAACAAAAAACACTTATACAGAGAGATCCTCTGTGTTTTTAGAGGCACTCAGGAGGACCGTTTAGGCAATTTTTTACTTCCACAAAAATGGATGTGTAACATTTTGAATTTTTAATGCAGTGCGCCACATTAGAGCACTGATAGATGCTTTATGCTGATGTCAGAGTGCGAGTAACACTGAGCTGTAATCATACCAGCCAGTTGTCTTCAAACAGGATGCTGATTGCCCTGAAGCCTTTCAACATGATGCGAGCTAAGCTATAACCCAAAGGCTCTATTGTGGCAGGAATTACTCCATGTGACAGGAGTATTTCTTGACAGATTTACACATTTTTCATCGGTTTTCAATATTGGTGCAGAATAACATACATGGTACATACAGGGTGTCGGATAAGCACATGAAAAGGTACAATACCAACAGGTGATTCCAGGAAAATTTCAGGAAATTTAAAATTTAAAGGTTCTACCATATGTTGATTGAAACAGATAAGCTTTTAGAACTTGACTGATATTTAACCTGTTTTTAGACCTGCAGGGTATCTTTCTATCTGTATCTGACAATGAAGTGAAAGCAGTTTCTTTGTGGTCCTGTAAAAAACACCATGGATCTCTAACACTTTCAGAGAAGGCACTTTAATTCCCACTGGGTAATTCTAAAAATGTAGACACTCCTGGGACTGTATGGTGCTGTGGATTAAGTTTTTTTTTCCAATTGGCATATAAATGGGATATACAACAGCATGAATATCTCATTCGTTTCCCCAGGACTGACCCACATTTTGAAGACGATTTTCTTTAGAACGGTATTAGATGAGCTTCAGGGTGAAATAACTCAATAGTAAGAATTTAATCTTTAATCTTTGTCCTGGTCTGCCAGTTCTGTCTGTGAACTAGTGAAGGTTCAGTCGGTCTGTAAGGCCGTGTAATGTGTGATTATTTGATGGAGGTTTACACTTCTGTATATACAAATGACCAATTTGGCAACATCATTATATATCTGATGGGTCAGCAGTCGCTTTGACAAATCTAAGATGGATTTACAGCAACAATCAAGCCCTTATGAATCAAATGAAACTGTAAAATATCTTAATCAGTAGAAAGACGAGGCATTAAGTACTCAAGCTTAGTACTTTGGCACTTTTGCATCTGCTTTAAATATTGCTGCAGAGCAATCTCAAAACAGGACCTGTCAGAATAAAAATAGCAACTTACAGTTCGAATTTCTAGGAGGAAATGATTGCATCTGCTAAGTGATCAGAGAAGAAGGTTATATTCCAATGTTTTGTTGAAAAGGGACAGCTGAGTCAATCATGTTCTTCAAAATTGGAAATGTTGGGTGCTGAAGTTTGCCTAATGCTAGTGTTGATGTGTGACAATCAGATGTAAGATATTGCTTTATTACAAACCTCTAAAACAGGCTCAGTGGTCCTTATTGTGTAATAAATGGCTTTCCTATTTTGTGTTTTAATGATGGTGGGTGACAGCAGATCACTCTTAAAGCTCAGTGATTCACTTGTAATCACATAATTTTCACATTCAATCAATTCGTTGAACTGAAGTCCTTTGAAGCACACCGACTGAAAAACAAAACTGCTTTTCTTTTGTCTTTTTTAATGACTTTTGTGCTTTTAACTTTAAAAACAGTTTGAAAGAAAACCTCACAAACAAACCTCCACCAGAATATATGAGGTCTGACTTTCTATAAATGGTGGACTTTCTTTGGCCATCACAGTTATGGATATCTGTATATGTATATCTATATCCATTTTAAACATGGAAATTAGTTTTATTTCTAAAACAATATTATTTACACTATTTCTAGATGGTTTAATTATTACTGTGTGAGATCAGTTAAACAGTAGCAAAGCTGACATGTATATGAAAATGTCGTATTATGACTTAAACATCAAGCCTGAGACAGACACATGATGACAACATTAAAAGGATACGATGATTCATGCCATTGCAGCTATGAGTAACACATAACTGTCGACATACCAGCGACGGTCACTGGAAATGACACCATTATCCTTGGGGTCTATTCGCATGAAGGCACAGACAAATCTCCCAGACTCCCGACGGGAATGGGTTGAGCTGTGGTGTTGCTAGTTTACACTGAATGGAGGCCACTTCTTGTCTGGCTTTTATTTCTCCCAGACATTATTTTTAATGGGAAGACATTGCCCTTTTCACCTTCCAAAATGACTAAATAATCTCTATTTCTGGGTCTCACTGCATGTGTTTTTTATGTTTGTTTAGATATGTCAGTGTAACTGTGCTGGAGTATTTGCATTCACACATATTGATGCATATGTGTGAATGCAAATGCATTAAAGGGCATAAATGAAAATCCAACATGGCAGGTCTTCCACCATTATGCACCGCCAGTTTAAATGCACCTTGGTAGTGATTCTTTGTAATTCTGTTTAAGGGATAAGATACCGTTCTCAGAAAGGATATTCTGTTATTTGGTGTGTTTTGTAGGTATTGGAGAACACAGTCTAACTAGACGGCACAAAGTCTCCCATAGATGTTCAACTGACTTTAAATCAAGTGCCTGCAGAGATCATAGAATGCATTTCATATATTTTTATACTTATCAAGCCATTCAGTGACCCCTCAGGATGAATGGGGGCTATACCATCCTTGAAGAGACCACTGCTATCAGGATAGAAAGGTATCATCACTTAGACCAAGTGCATTGGCTTGCAGTGACACTGCAGACCCAAACCATGCCAGGAAAATGGCCCTACCATTTTCCATTCATTGTCAGTCTATTCGTCCATTCATCACCTACATGTGTGCCAGTTATTCTTCTTTAATCATGCATTCAGTACCTGTCTGCTGGGCCTCCTGGCCTGACATAGGTGACCACTAAAGGGCGTGATTTGTGCCAGTCCTCATGGGTACCGCCTGTAAGAGGAGCAGGGCAAAGCTCTTTACACTAAATTCTGGAGACACATTACAAAGAAATACCACATCAGCTTAATATTTACTTATTTATTTATCTACATTGCAGTAAATAAAAATGTGATACAGCATTTTTTTACCCTTATCCTAAAATGCTTTTAATGTATCATTTGTTGAGAAAATCGAATATTAAAATGTAAACTTCAGATCTTTAAATACAAATTTAGATGAACCGACAAAAACAAAGCAAGGGGAGTGATGTTGTCTTTCTTTTTGGTCTAGACAACCCAAAATGTGATGTGCAGATATGTGGATGCCAGGTCCTAGGAGGTTAACATTAACAAAGTAGAGAAACACTGCCAAACTACAACCATCACAAGGTGGCAGTTCAAAAATATTCCTCTCAGTAGAATGAGTAGTATAATTAACTAATTTATTCATATATTTACTAAGCATAGACAAAATTCCTTTCTAATAAATATGGGAACAGCTGCTGTACAATATATTGCCAACAGTTCAATGTAGTGTAGATGACACCATTTCACTAATATGTTACTTCTAACTAAGTGCATAACCATAAAAAAAACATACAGTAATGGGCTTTTTTTAAGTGACAGATACCTCTCATGACGAAACCAAAACTGTTCCCTTCTTTGTGCAAACAGATGTCAATTGTCTTTGATATAACCCCTGAGGTGCTGTCTGGTGCTTTGAGTCAAGAAACACACACACAGAAACACAGAGGGAGAGAAAGAAAGAGAATTGAGGGATTAATCCGGCACAATTAAAATGTATCAGCATAACCTGAAGTTTACATCATGACATTAGAGCACTGATATTTAATGTAGAACAATTAAACAATAATAATTACTTGAATGCTCTTCAATTACACTGCACTACAAAACAAAACAAAAACACTCCTGTATTAAACTATGCATGGTATTTGAGTGTCAATTCAGGATTCCCTTAAATTTCTATACTTAAAAACTACACTTATTATCGTAAAATTAAATATCCTAAAATGAAAATAATGTTCTGAAGAGAGATGTTGAAGGTTCAAACATCCATCAGTGTTGTTTTCTGAGGCAAATCTATTCAGCTAGCCACAGCCTATCAAAATACAACACTATACAGCTCAATTTGGTTGAAAAATGAAAAGTTGTCTTCTCAGCAAATAATCTAGTTAAATGCCATTCCCATAGAGCATTTTTCCTTTTAAATATTAAAACCCCCTCATTTGTATCATCTATATAGCTTCATGTAGACTTTGTTTTTAATTGGGTTATGTCACATTGTGTGCTGCACTGTGAGTATAGCTGAGCAGGCCTCTTGGGAGTCCGTAGGGCGCATTGGTAGAGCAACATTTGGCACTGCTTTCTTGTAAGAAAGTTTGGTTTGTATTGTGCTGTTTGGAGAGGTGTTGAGGAGGAAAAGTATCCTTTTTACTTTTCTATCCAATTTAACTAATAGCTTGTCTTTTTGTGGGAATCTTTTCAGTGACATGAACAGATGTCTTTTCAACAAATCTTTTCATTTAGTTATTTTACAGGGTGGACATGTTCAAATGAAATAATTTTTCCTGTGTGTGTTTCCTCAGCATGTGCTGCAGATAAAATAAAATAGACAAGTGTAATAGATCCAGCAGTATAAATATTGTTCAGATGACACAGGACAAAGTTTTATAACGTTAAATAATCTAAAGCTATAAAATGACTATCAGTAAATCCCTATGATTGAGAAGTACAGTAAAGACAGGAGACTGTGCCAAGAGTTTAATCATTTAAATGAATGAAGGAGCTGTCTCTTAGCAAGTAAACAAATGTATCAATATCTAGCGCCAATGTTCAGTATCAATGAAGAAGTAGTATATACTATACATAGTGAGACCTTGGGGTGACATGCGGGTTTTGTCTGTATCTAGCTGTCATTTACATTTACTTTTCTATTCAGAATTACAATATTCATTCCAGTATCCGGCAATTTCTAATGTGATATTGGATAGGACCTTACTGACATCACTAACTCATATCTTAACGACTTTATAAATCACGTAGAAACAACCAGCCTAGCTGTACAAATACATACCTGTGGGGGGCAGTTCATACTCCACCTCCAGCAGAACCCTCTCTCCTACATTTTTCAATAAGCTGATTATCTCTTCGTGCCGCAGTTTGGTCAGATTGATCCCATTCACGGATTTGATGTAGTCCCCAACATTTAACTGGTCACTCCTGCACAAAGAAGGGACAAAAAGATGTAAAGGCTTGCACAAATGAGAAAGGCTTTAACCACATGTTTCTTTTTCCTTTTATAAAATGACCCATTTATGGTACAGAATATTGCTGAATAGCAAGACAGTCTGAATCTATGTATTCATCCTCATCTTAGAGGTTGACTGTGTTTCACTCACCTGGCTGCCAGTCCTCCAGGTCGTAAGTTTGATACACGTGGTTTTCCATCCTTATCAGTTCCTCCTGAGATGGTGAGGCCCAGTGTGCTGCCTTCTTTCTTCACCAGCTCCACCATAGTCACCCCCCGCAGAGCTTCTAACCAAACACACACAGACACACACATAAAAACGATACACACACAATACAGGCAGAGGGAAGGACATACCAATACACACACAGGGATGTGTACACAGACATATGTAGCCACACTCAAACATACAAAATACAGGAGAGGAATAAGTGGTTAGTGTCTGTTCATTCATTCCAATTCCTGGATTAAAGCTTTAATAGTTTCTAAAAGATAAAAACAAACTAAGACAATTGTTCCTGTTTGTCCTTGAGTGAGACACTGATCTCGTGTTGGCTTAAAAGAGCTGAAATGACTAAAACGTAATGTGAATTTCAGACAAGATAAGAATCAGATAATGATAATTAGGAGTGCCCTTTGTCTCTTGTTGTCACTCCACTTGAAGACTTCCTGGCAGGGATGAAAAGGTCTTTAAAGGTTAAAGTACACCAGCAGAAAGCAGAAGTTTAGATCAATTTTCACTTCCAGCTGAGAAATTAACAAAAGTAATCAACACTGCACCTAATATACTTTGCTGCTAAAACGTTATATTTTACAGAATCTGCAACTCTAACTGTCCTTATTAAACAAACAATCAAACAAAAAAGCAAACAAACAAATAATTTAGTAAGTATAATTATTTGAAAAAACTGTCCACAAAATATACTACATTTTCTTGACCAATAACTTTCATTAACTTCGAAATAGCTGTTATGTACAGTTAAAACTCTAATGAATCCTCTGAAAGAAGGATCAAGGATTGGTGGACCACTCTGACTTTTTCAACATGAGGACAAAAGAACTGTGTAATGCAGAAGAACTACTTAATGCAATATTCCCTAAACACCTAAATAGACTACTCCATGAACCAAAGAAACACAACATTCATGAGAATTCCATCAAAATTCCAACACTTATTAAAAAACTATTTTTAGAGTGAGTTGAAGTTGTGTCATTTTTTTCGGTATTCTAAAACATATAAGGCCGATTGAGTTTGGTTAAGTCATGATGGGAGTAATTATTACTGGTCAAAAAAAATGGCATGAGTAAGGAAAATGTAAGACTTTCTAGGTTCATGAAAAGGCTAAGGAATTTGGTTCAAAACAGCCAGGGGAATCTTGGGAGATGAATAAGCCTTTACCAAAGTAATAAGTAAACTAAAACCCCAGAGCTGTCATGACATGGTGTTGCCTTCCCATTTGTCTATTTGTATCATTACCATTTACATACACCATGAGCGCACAGAAGCATTCCCATACACAAAAACACATCAACACACAAGCAGATGAGATAAAGCTTTTGTGTGATAGATGCCTAGATTAGGTACATCCCTCAGGCAACACTCAGGATCAGTGAAGTGCTTCACACCACAGTTATCTCTGATAGGCATTATGCAGCATATACAGGGACATGCACATTATTAGCAGAAAGGCACTCATTCATTCATTAGTCCTTGTGCTACTCACATTTGCATAAAAGCAACGCTTTTCCAAATGTAGTCTGGATGATGTGAACATTTTCTGAAGAGAATCCATCACTAATTTTTTTTTTCTGCAAAGCTGCAGAACTGAGGATGTTGGAATTCATAAAGTTTTGATCTTGTAGAATGATTTTTATACTGCACAAAAGAAAACTTGTAGAGTGATTGATGTACTACAGAGAAATGGGAGGAGTATTACTGTACATGTAATAATGATGAGATAAACGGAAACACTTAAAATACAATAATAATAATTATTATTTTAAAATTTAAAATAATTAAAAAAAAATTCTTAATTTTTTAAAGCAAGCAAAGTGACCTAAGTTCTAGGAATGTAGCTGACTTATGTACAAATTGATAAAGATGTGACCTAAAAGATGATCAGAAAGAGGTCACAGATACATAACACAGAATAATAATAATACTAATAATAGACCTATTTAAAACTTCACGGGGAAACAAGCAGAAAACAATTCTTTTTTAAAGATTCCTTAAGCCTAGAAGAAGTTAATGAAAAGATGATGAAAATATAACTGAAGGCTCTCAACCTTTGACGAGCCATAAATTACAGTTTTCATTCATGTTGTCAATTATAGTGTATTGTTGGGCAATCATCAATAATGAGGAGGTTATAAAACAGCTAAAAAAGCTAAGGGGAAAAAAATCAGTATTAGTCATCAGCTCGACTAAATGTGTAGTTTTGGACCTTTGGTTAGTCATGACTCAGATATAAATGTGTGCTTTCTAGAAAAGCAGCCAAAAAAAACAAACTTAGAAAGCTTTCTTAGGTAAGATGTTTACTTTAGAAGACTAAGTTTAATTGTGACCATTGGTAATTTCCAAGAAATACATTTTTTTAAAGCATTGGCTACTGGCTACACCCCTTTAAACAGAATTTTTAGGATATACCTTAAAAAACACAGACAGAGAACAAGAGAGAAAGTGACAGACAGAAAATTACACATTACAGGGAGTGCAGAATTATTAGGCAAATGAGTATTTTGTCCACATCATCCTCTTCATGCATGTTGTCTTACTCCAAGCTGTATAGGCTCGAAAGCCTACTACCAATTAAGCATATTAGGTGATGTGCATCTCTGTAATGAGAAGGGGTGTGGTCTAATGACATCAACACCCTATATCAGGTGTGCATAATTGTTAGGCAACGTCCTTTCCTTTGGCAAAATGGGTCAAAAGATGGACTTGACAGGCTCAGAAAAGTCAAAAATAGTGAGATAACTTGCAGAGGGATGCAGCAGTCTCAAAATTGCAAAGCTTCTGAAGCGTGATCATCGAACAATCAAGCGTTTCATTCAAAATAGTCAACAGGGTCGCAAGAAGCGTGTGGAAAAACCAAGGCGCAAAATAACTGCCCATGAACTGAGAAAAGTCAAGCGTGCAGCTGCCAAGATGCCACTTGCCACCAGTTTGGCCATATTTCAGAGCTGCAACATCACTGGAGTGCCCAAAAGCACAAGGTGTGCAATACTCAGAGACATGGCCAAGGTAAGAAAGGCTGAAAGACGACCACCGCTGAACAAGACACACAAGCTGAAATGTCAAGACTGGGCCAAGAAATATCTCAAGACTGATTTTTCTAAGGTTTTATGGACTGATGAAATGAGAGTGAGTCTTGATGGGCCAGATGGATGGGCCCGTGGCTGGATTGGTAAAGGGCAGAGAGCTCCAGTCCGACTCAGACGCCAGCAAGGTGGAGTACTGGTTTGGGCTGGTATCATCAAAGATGAGCTTGTGGGGCCTTTTCGGGTTGAGGATGGAGTCAAGCTCAACTCCCAGTCCTACTGCCAGTTTCTGGAAGACACCTTCTTCAAACAGTGGTACAGGAAGAAGTCTGCATCCTTCAAGAAAAACATGATTTTCATGCAGGACAATGCTCCATCACACGCGTCCAAGTACTCCACAGCATGGCTGGCAAGAAAGGGTATAAAAGAAGAAAAACTAATGACATGGCCTCCTTGTTCACCTGATCTGAACCCCATTGAGAACCTGTGGTCCATCATCAAATGTGAGATTTACAAGGAGGGAAAACAGTACACCTCTCTGAACAGTGTCTGGGAGGCTGTGGTTGCTGCTGCACGCAATGTTGATGGTGAACAGATCAAAACACTGACAGAATCCATGGATGGCAGGCTTTTGAGTGTCCTTGCAAAGAAAGGTGGCTATATTGGTCGCTGATTTGTTTTTGTTTTGTTTTTGAATGTCAGAAATGCATATTTGTGAATGTGGAGATGTTATATTGGTTTCACTGGTAAAAATAAATAATTGAAATGGGTATATATTTGGTTTTTGTTAAGTTGCCTAATAATTATGCACAGTAATAGTCACCTGCACACACAGATATCCCCCTAAAATAGCTAAAACTAAAAACAAACTAAAAACTACTTCCAAAAACATTCAGCTTTGATATTAATGAGTTTTTTGGGTTCATTGAGAACATGGTTGTTGTTCAATAATAACATTATTCCTCAAAAATACAACTTGCCTAATAATTCTGCACTCCCTGTTCATAGAAATTTATAGGTATGTAGCTAGTGGTAGTTGGTGTTGGCCACTTACCAGGTATGCTGTGTCTTCTTGAGGCCATGGTATGCTCTGGTCCAGAGATATCCTTAGTTTTCCCATATGGTCCATCATCTAAAGAGAAAAGAGAAACAGAATTGAACTTTAGTATTTTTAAATGTATTTTGGAACAGTTAAAGCTTCAATATTTTGACTGTGACAAGGCAAAAATGATTAGTTTATATGAACCCGAGGAAGGAGCTTGGAAAGAAAAGCGTCTGGACTTCTTTGAGTTGCTTGAAGACGTTTCACCTCTCATCAGAGAAGCTTCTTCAGTTCTAAGGTCAAATGGCAGAGAGTCCCAGATTTAAACCCAGTGGGAGTTTCCCCCCAAAGAGGGACAAAGTGATCCTGGTGATCCTCTACCTAATCACATGAGCCAAGGTGTGAAAGCGGGTGTGGGTCACAATCAGCCAAGGTGTCGGGTGAGCCCATTGTGAAACCTGGCCCCACCTTATCATGTGATTTCCTGAGATCAGATGGCCCAGGATGTGAGTGGGCGTTAAGGTGTCTGGGAAGGGATCTCAAAACTGGATTATAGATGGCAGACAGTTGGTGTCGTAAACCACCGCCTCTGTTCAAAGATGGTCGCTCACAGTGGACATAAATGGCTTCTTTCACTCCTCTTTCAAATCATCTGTCCTCTCTGTCCAAAATGTGAACATTGGCATCCTCGAAAGAGTGTCCTTTATCCTTAAGATGCAGATGGACAGCTGAGTCTTGTCCCGTGGAGGTGGCTCTTCTATGTTGTGCCATGCGCTTGTGAAGTGGCTGTTTGGTCTCTCCGATGTAGAGGTCTGGGCATTCCTCGCTGCACTGTACAGCATACACCACATTGTTAAGTTTGTGTTTAGGAGTTTTGTCTTTCGGGCTAACCAGTTTTTGTCCGAGTGTGTTGCTGGGTCTGAAGTACACTGGGATGTCGTGCTTGAAGAGAACCCTCCTGAGTTTTAGACTACGATGACCTGGATGACTGAGAACCTTCACAGACGAACCCGAGGATGAATTATCAGGTTTGCTTGGGGTGCACTGTACGTATGGCTATCTGACTCAACAGAAAGTCCTCAACACAAATAATGAAGGACACCACAAACGAATAACTACATAAAAGACCAAAAAATTCCATTTATTAATGGTGCTTATATACTGTAACCATACACCTAAAGACCTGTTTAGAAAAGCAATCATGCTAACACTGTCGGCACCTTTTTAGCTCACTTTCAACACAGGAATCACATTTCATATCTTAACTGACTGTGGTGTCCTCCCAAACTTCTCACATGTGATACTGAATATATGAAATTTGTAGCAACATAATAATACCCCTGCACATTAGTTTATGACCATAAGATGATCACAAAGCTCTTTTGTTTTTGATTTGGACTTTGTTATTCAGATATATCATTTCATTCACACTCTCATTCACACCTGTACACAGCTTCCGTAAATTGTATTGCTTGTCAGTGATGGTACTGTTGAGTAATGGTTTCTGCTCCCAGTTTCAGTTGACACTGGTCTGAGCATATCTGATGATGATTCTGAGAGGTACAACAAAAATGTCTGATAGCTAATCCATGACTGAGAATGTAAAGACAAGCCTGCAGCACTGCATCTGTTACTTCTATCCAGAGATGGGCAGTAACGCGTTACTTGTAACGCGTTACTGTAATCTGATTACTTTTTTCAAGTAACGAGTAAAGTAAGGGATTACTATTGCAAAATCGGTAATTAGATTACCGTTACTTTCCCGTAGGAACGCTGCGTTACTGCGTTACTAAAACCGTGATTTTTTTTGCGAGAATGTCTCATGACAGTGACGTAAGCAAGTGCGACGTTGGTGACAGCAGCTGTGTGCAGATCAACAATGGATAATATATCGAGTGCGGGAGAGAGTATGAGCGTGCAGCGTTTAAAGTGTGGAAGTACTGACCTTACTTTGAGTTTGATTCCATAAAAAGTGACAAAAACATTAGCGTCCATCGTGCGTGGGAAGAAAACTTCTTTTTACAGCGAAAAAAACCCCTAAACTTCCGAGCAAGCACCGAGTAGCTACGACGTGATGGGAAACTCACAGAGACACTCGCGCGGATTCTTCAACTGACCGCAGCACACCTACACCAGGGTAACCCTCCGCCTACCCTGCTCCTGCTTTACAGGTGAAAATAGAGCAAAAGGACCGCTGAGTCTTTGACTTTATTTATTTTCTGCTGTGTTTTACTTGCATCTGTTTGAAAGAGTGAGTGAAAACACAAAAAATATTTTATTTTATGTGCTGGAATGTGTAGAAAATAGGTTTAAATGTTAAACTAATTTATTCAAGTCAGAGAATGTTGCATATGCATAAATGTTTTGCTTGATGCATAAAGTTAAAAGATTAAAACTGATAAAACAAGTTAAAAAAAGAGACTTTTCCATTTGATTACATTTTGTATGATGGATTGTGTAGAAAAAGTAGAATTGGGCTGAAAGATCTATCACTTTATCACCTCTTCAGGTTGTAAATCGTGTTTTTAAAAAGTAATTAAGTAACTAAGTAACTAAGTAATTAATTACTTTTGAAAATAAGTAATCAGTAAAGTAACGGGATTACTTTTTGGGGGGAGTAATCAGTAATTAGTTACTGATTACTTTTTTCAAGTAACTTGACCAACACTGCTTCTATCAATCTTTTTTTTCCTTAAGGATCAAAGGGGTTTCATGCCCCAACTGAACAGATGCAAACACAGTTGGCCTTCCTGCCTTTAGAGCTGCAAATATTCTCTAAATGCTTCTTCGAGGGAATTTTCTCCCTTGTAAGAGTTTTTTTTTTTAAAGAAATGCTGTGTAAAATGTTGAAAAAAAAAAAACACCCCACATTTGTAATCTCCGTACTACAACTGAAATTGCATCAGTTTTGCACACTACTATGTGAAGATTACATGTAAGGGAGATTTTCCAGTTACCTACACACTGTCACTTTAACTAACTTTAAGTAGGTTGACACATTGGCAAATACCCAGAAGAGCTGTTGAAGGAAGTCTCCTGCCAGTTTGGACAATGAAACAGAGGCCAACACTATATGTCACATTTGGGGGAACAGATGTCATGCTTTATAGTCTGCGGCAGAGACTTTCTGGCAAATATCTAGAAGACATTTAATATTTTATTTTTCTTCTGCTCAGATCACCACAGCTTTCTAAAGCTGTTCTTTTTTTGTTCCTAAATTAAAACCACAGGAGGGAATCTTGTATACAAACTTAAATTAAATGTCACAATGCCTGCCTGTCTACATACTTGCAGTAACCACTTTCCTTTTTAATTGGGAGGTTCTTCCAATAAAGAAAGTACTTTTTGAATACAATATCAATGATGTGATCATGAATATGAAGCAGTTGCACAGCTGCAGTTTCCAGTTTTAATTCCTGTCTAGCTAACAAAGATAATAGTAATTCTGCCTGTAGGTGGTGTCAATGTGCTCTATCTACAAGTGAGCCACCCGCTGACAGCGTGACTGCAACTTTTCTTTTTTATACATATCTGCAAAATTAATTTGGCTCTGCATGAATTGTCCAGGAATGTCTTTCTGCTATTTATGAAGAAGAACAAAGAGGGGCCAGAAATTATTGCGGATATAACTGAATATCACTAAATATATGTATTTGATGCATCATAATGTCCTTTTGGCACTAGTATCACACAATAATGCAAATAAATCGAAGCTGCTCTTTTCTTTTCTACCATAGAACGAATATAGAGCTTTTGTGTAAGGAATCATTTTTTTACTATAAATCTGCTTTTCCTTTTCAATCTATTATTGAGTACAATTATATTAATGCACATATTTTAAGGACTCATCTATGATATATTAAGGATATTAAGTATTTTGCTAACCCACACTCTTTAACTTAGTTTGACAGCAGCTGCGACAGCAGAGCTGAGCTTGTTGTTGTTGTTGTGACTCTGAAGGGAAAGGATGTGTCCTACTTTACAACCTCTGCTCCATCGGAGGGATGGGATAAGTTTAACAATTCATAAACCACTTCCCAGTTATTTTCATACTCTAATTCAGAAGTTGCATTAAAACCAGGCACAATTATGCCACAGCTTAAACATAAATGTCTTAGCCAATTTTCCAAAATAAATGCATATTTGTAATGCTGTTCCAGAGCAACATTTTAAATCAGCTTACTACCATTAGCAGAGTAAGCACTTAAAAAACATTTGTAACAGTACCAAAGAAACCGCAAACGTTAGCTGGCCAGAATTAACGATTGTGTGACATATTACTTTAACAGCCAAATTAACAAGGTATTTGCTTTCTATATTTTACTAATATGTCAAGAAATCTCTGTATGTTGTCAGTCTTCACACTGGGCAGGCCTAATGCTAAGGGTCAGAGTAAGTGCTCTAAGTTTTATTTTAATCACCAGAGGCAAAAGTAACATCATGTTCAGACAGTTCAGAAAGTATTCTATATTCAATTCCACCAGGATCAACACATTTTTTCTTCTTTTTTTTTTTATTGTTGTCACTACATGTTCCTGAAATTATTGACATTCTATGATCTCTAGTTGCCACATTGCTGCTAGTGTCTTCCTGTGTGGTAGCGAGTTTCCTGTGACATCTACCCTCCCTGATACTGACAGGACTAAAAATAGTCCTGTAGGAGTAGGAGCAGAAACACATTTGAGGTAGAAGGATATAAGTACACATAAACCCTTTTTAATCACTACAAGTGTACGCCTGTGAGTGCAGAAACTCCATTCATTTTTAATAGAATTAAAATCTATACATTGGTCTGGCGGTTTGCACAGTTGACTAATGGCTCATTCAGTTTACAACATGAAAGAGCAGAAAGGTTAGGTCAGCATATGAGTTGGTGTGGGTTTTTTTTTTAATGTGTTTTATGTTTTTGAGCTTGCGTATCTATCCTTTTTCTGTGTCTAAATATCATAATTAGTTACAATGTTTATGTTGTTTATTCAACATATGCATAACTCCTTCACTGTCAAGGCTTTGGCCTTTAAACAAATTGGTGAACTAAATTTTATTGTGTGCCGGGTGGTGGCCAGGAGCGGAGGCCCTGGCGGACCGAT